AGGCACAATCGGCCTCCGCGTTCGGCAGCGTTCGACATCTGTCTCTCTCCTACTTGAGTGAGCGATGCGTACGCGTGGACAGCTGCTACTCGTATACAATAATACATTTTTGAAAAATGCAACCATTCCATCAGTATTTTCTTAAGACGTTGTCACGTTCAACTATCGTCAGTAAACCGACTTTACAGACAACCGTTTTTTTTTAGAATACATTATGTGCTATAAACACGTTGATCTGCACGAACTACTTATAGATTCTGTTTGATCGCAGCGGCAGCGCGGCAAGTTCTTCAAACGTAAACTCGTAGTGCAGTTTTGTCCGCATGAAACAAGGTGGCTCCATATAGTTTTAAGACCGTGTGTGTGTGTGTTTATTAAGATTCGGAAATTCGTTTCTAACTTAGGCATACCTTTTCCATGTAAAAGTTTTTTTTCTTAGACCTTATTTTTGGTTATTGTATACAGAAATAAAATAAATTAAGATTGTTTATTAAACAAAAAACCGTGTTTCAGTATTTACAAGACAATTGCACACGACTGTGCAAATAGTCGGCGGTGTGGTTCTTAAAGTATATTATTAAAGGTTTTCAGCTTTCTGAACCTAAAAATAGATAAATTATAAAAGTCGGCATAAAAGCAGCAAGTTTAAAAAATATGGAAATTCGGCGTAAAGGTATTAGGTGTATATACACGGTGATTTTGAAAGCGTTTTGGAAAAGAACATTTTGAATTATTTATCAGTAACAGAAGCTATATACAACGTTAATTTAATAAAATATATATATTTTTTATCATCAAAGTCGATATTCATATCGATTACAGAGAAAAGGTGAGAACCAGTAGTAGGGCTTTTCAATCGCAAGTAGGTAAATACTACGAATAGAAATACTATACTCACGTGCAAGGTCAAGGATTTTTTCTTATGGTCGGAAATAAAAATACTTGTTTATACACGGGAATATGAAAGCAGTGATAATTTACGCATTGCGATAGTGGACGCTTTTGATAAAGTGAAAAGTGATAGAGACACATTAAGAAAATTAAAAAACAATTGCATTAAACGTGGACGTTTGTGTATTGAATGCAGCGGACTCCATTTTGAGCAGTTGCTTCGATACAGAGAAGTGTAAATAGTGTAAATAGGTATGTAAGTTAATTATTCTGTAGATAGCTCCGATTTTTTAAATACGCTTGAAATATTTATACCTACAGTCCGTTGATAAATTGATTTGTTGTGAAAAGAACAATCGTGGTTAATAATCGAAAAGAAGTTTAAATAAAATAGGTATTTCCGACGATCCTAAGCCCGTGTAAAGTATGAAGGACAAATTGGAGTCTATCTACGTAAGTACTCGCTAGCTCGCGCCTATAGGTATACTTTTATCAGCTGCTGTTAGCGTCAGCGGTGCGCAGCGGCCGCCGAAACGCCCACGGACGTGTTTCATTCATATAAGATAATGAATGAATGATCAGTCCATTACTACTTTCCAAGTCGATCGAGTAAAAATGAATATTAAAACTGAAACTTTTTTTTAGACAACATTACAATTGATTTAATCATTTTTATTGGTACTATAGATGATTCCAAATTAAAATGTTTCGTTTCCAAAACGCCTTAAAAATCACCGTGTATAAATGTATGGTCATCATCATCACTCAACGGCAGTCTGATCATATGATGATACCTGCTTTTCTCGACAGAAAATGATTACATTACCAGGTAGGGATAAGAAAAGGGAGTGTTCAGGCTCCGGTAACTTCAATAACTCAGTGAACAGCAAGGAAAAATTATTATATTGATTGGTTTTCTGTGAGGCCCTGGTATCACTCTAGTCAAGCTATGTGATCTCTCCCATATTAAAGTGAAAAAATAAGTGAGAAGTTATATTATTTTATTTATTGAACATATCGTTTTCGGTAGCTGTTTTTTAAATTATTTTGTCTTTGGTACTTTTTACCTCAAAGGAATATTAAGACATATAGGATTTTTTTCAATAGTAAATTACTTAGTTGAGTTTAGTAAACATTTAATAGTATTATAAGGACCAAAACTTTACGTAAAAGTACATCTTTAATTCTGGCATGCTGCCTCCTCCAGGCTTTAGATTCACTCTCACCTTAGTTAAGATTTAATAAAGCAGCATAAAAAAATCGGTGTCATTCAACCGTTCAAGCACCTAAATGTTTTAATAATTCCTTTGAGCTTTTATTTCAGTTCAGGAAGACATAGGTGTACAAACAATGTTAACAAACCTAAGTTATAACTATTCATGAACGAGTAAATTAAATACTAATGTTTAATTACTAATGAAGTTGCGATCAGCTGCCTTGTTTTATAATTATATACTAATTGTTGTTAAAAATTTGAACAATTAAATATACATTTTACAAAAAACAGTCGGATGCACCGAACAATTTTCTTTCAACATAAGGAACGACGGTTAACACTATTCTTTATCCCAGAGGTACAAACGGTAAACGTAATATCTGGTCAGTAAAACGAAGTACCTGTGATTTTAATAAGCTATTACTAGAGAAACGAATGAAGAGTTTTGAAACAATAATATGAATGAAGTAAAAGTTTTACAATTCATACACATATAAACGTATAATAATATACTTACTGGAATAACATATAACTGAAAAAATTATCAGATATTTTGTTTGCTGTATGTAACTGCATACAGATGTTTAAAGCACTTTCACACTAGCGTTTGTCAAGTATGCTCTGGTTGGACCCCGCGCAACGCGTCTAACGCGTTTTGTCTGCAGTGGCTTGTACACTGCGTTAACGCACCGCAAATACAACACAATTGATATCGTTTTAGTATTATCATTAAGAAAATCAATTCCAACGAAAATGTGAAAAAGTACTTTGGTCCTTATAAATAAATAAATCGATTCCTATGGTTGCTATGAAACACAAGAAAACACAATGTACGCTTAATAAGAGCGGTATGTACACGAGAAGCTAGTGCAACGTTCTAGCGCCGCTAGAAACGCTAATGTGAAGGAGCTCTAAAAATACTCATACAGGGCATTAATGTTCCAGTCGAATTTGCAAAATCCACGCGGCCAATGAAATTTCTTGAATCCTTATTCGCGATGGAATGCAGGATAAATAATTAGTGATAAATTCAGATTCGTACTTCATTTTTGCAAGTGAATATTCTTTGCTGATCAATCGTTTTTTTTTTCGAATAAAAGACAGAAAAGAGTAATTAGATACGTATAAAAATATTCCTTTTTTATGCATGCCTACAAGTATGACTGTTGAATGTTATAAGAATTATTACTTAAAATGCTTTAAGTTGCTAAAATATGTAGTTGAGACTATAATAGCAGATATTTACGAATGATAATTTCTACTATAATGAATTCAGAATGATATTATGAAAGTATCTCACGAGAAATTATTTTGGCACAACATTACGTGCATACTTTTCTTGCGCACAAAACTTTGAGTTTTGTTGAATAAGGCTTAAAATATTTTGCACAATTACATTTACAACACCTTTGCTGAGTTTAGCAAGCTTTTTCAAGCAAGACATTATTATATCTATTATATCTTTAGTGATAATCTTTATGAACATGCAGGACGGCAAAAACTACAATCAACCATTAAATTCAAAACAGAGCAAATTTTAACGTATTGATTAATAGTTATTTTACATACAAGTGCATCGTTATAATGTCGTTTTAGAGAGCATTTTCATAATTTTCTTACACTTAGCATGAAATGTATTATACCAGATCAATTGCGTGTTCTTAAAACATATATCTAAATACTAGTTACTATGCAAAAATACATATATTTTTAAAAAATACACTAATTTTGCTATTATGACGAACTTTTAAGTAGAATACGCTTCATGATACGTACAGTTAGAAACATGACCACTAAGATGGAAAATGATAGTTTCATTTTTAACAATGTTATCTAATGAACAATGGGCATGAACACTATTTCAGCTGTCCGTCGAACCTACTTTGCTGGAAATTATGATATAATTGATATCCGCAGCTTAAACATTATTATTGTTTGATTAACGGCTAAGTAGATTCGATTTAGTGCGAACAACCATTATACTCTAATGATTTACATAACCTATTTTTAATGACATGGTTCTTTTTTTATAGTTACAGTAGGATACCGTAATGCATATTTAACTGTTTTTATACTTATTTGAGAATGCATAGTGGTATAAAGAAAGAGCGTGCTTATATACTACAAATATTTTAAAGAGAAGGCTCGTACGAAGATACTGTTTTTAGCTTACAAGTTACTTTTTATTTCTAGTTATGTTCATCACATCACATCAACAGCCTTTAATAGTCCACTGCTGAACATAGGCCTCTCCTTAGAAAGGAGGTTTTGTCCTACTATACCACGCTGGCCAGACGGGTTGGGGTTCTAATTATGTTATTTAATAGAAATATGACATACATTTTTTGAAACGCGATTCGGCAATTTTATTTGTTTTCGATTCATCGCATAAGAGTGCTCATAATATAATACTTACTTAAAAAGTGGCAAGCCAACATGTAAATATTATAAAAGAGACCTAATTTTTTTTCCATTTCTATTTAAAAAAATACACACGGTTTAAGTGTCAATGGTGAAATTTGGTTTTACTAAAATGTACCTAAATTCAGCATTTATTAACCACAACTTATAATCATGATACATTTAAAGCTAAAACAGTACCGCAGTAGGAGCCTTGATATTTATTTTATTATAAAAATGCATAAGAAAAAAACTTATATTAGCCATAAGCACCATTACAAAAATAAAATCTTTGGGATCACTGGCAAGTTAACAGAAATAATAATAATCACATTTAAAACTTAACAATTAAACTATAAAATAATCAGACCCTGATAGATAATATCAAATAGGAAACGTGATGAGTATTAAGGTATAAACTTATTCAAGGTTTGTCAATAGCTGTTTTTAGTTGACTGACATTGGTTGATCTGTGGATGTAAATAAAAAAAAATTAAATGCCTTGTGTAAGTGAGTTTTCCAGCACAATGTCGAACTCATCGAGTGGTTCTAGTATTTGTCGGAGGAATGTGAGCAGGCCACGCTTGCGGAGGAAGCTTTGTTCTTCATACATCTCGATGGTGACGCGCGTCATCGACATCGGTACCAACATTCGATGTAGCCAATGTTCACTGTAAATAATCATCTTTTTTATATGTATAAAAATGAAAGGATGAAGCAGCGTAGTTCTTTTTTCTCATCTATTATTATTATTATTTTGTCGAGTTATTTGTTGCCAATAAAAATTGTTACCATATGTTACCAATAAAAATGGAATCATTGAAAACATATATCTAGCTTCAAATTTAGAAAGCAAGATTGAAAAAATGTTTATCTCATGCATGCGTTTGTTTTTCTCAAAGGTTTTGTTCAAAAATGGCTTTCTAATCGTAAAACTTCCAACAGTGATGGATCATGGATAAAGCTCCAAACAAACAATACGTACATAAAAAAAACAGAATTCTGAATTGTGATGTTTTTTATTAAAATTAAGGTTAGAATTTTAAAGATTTTTTTGGTGTATCCTTGGCTGAATAGGAACAAAACTTTTGCTATCCATACCAAACAATAAAGAAGTTGACAGGTTCATAGTTTTCGGAATCGGAATAAAAACTTACCGTAGACTAAGACATATGAAGAGCTGAAATTTTCCGTCCTTCCCAAGTGTGCGACCCACAGAGTTAATCTCATCCATGAGATGACAGTAGCAACGCCAGATGGCTCTGTGTTCTTGATCTTGGCGGCAGTTGTATGCCATGCCGCAGCTTTTATTGTTCTGAGTAGTTTGTTCATCGCACAAACTCAATTTAAATTCGTCTTTCACTTTGGCTGAACATGAAAATATATTTACCGAAATGTAGTGAGTAACATTATATTAGTCAACCTAATAATAATTCTAAAAGGTACTACATTAAACGGTATGTCTACTTAATGTGAAACATTACAGTATCCAATATTTCAAATTAATTTCAATACGATTTATCGACTACTTAAAATAGTACAATTTTATTTGTAGCAAATGACTAAGAATTTATCTTCCAACCACTAATGACCTGTTTAAGATTTTTTTACTAATATAATGCTTACCAAAATAGTCCCAAATAAAGAGATTCTTCCCAAACAGGCGAACTGACTTGAAGCCACACAGAAAAGCTTGCTCCAAGCATTTGACAAGACCATTCTCTCCACACAGAAGCACACTGAGCGAGTTGGCATCCTTTTCTCTCTTCGCTTGGTAGTGCCATTTCACAATAGCGTTTACACAATCACCTATAATGACATTTAATTTAATCTACCGCTACATAGCGCTAAGATAGTTTACCCAGTAATCCTGAAAATAGAAAAATAACTACCACCTGAGCTCCCATATTATTATGCAAAAAGCCTCTGCGAGCATTAAAGTAGTGAACCCTAACCTAGTGCAACTAAGTACCTAATAAAAAGAAACATCCGCGCACATTCGAAAACTGTGCCACGCGCAGCTTGATCCAATGAAAGAAAGTATATAATTAACCCTTCCATTACCAGCATACTTACCTGGTGTATCGTGGTTAGTCTTGGTTTACAAAAAAATAATCCGAGCAATACATTTTTATGACATTATGTTCTTAACCCGGGATCCAGGATTTAAAGATAGGATCGCGCGAGTGGATTGGAGTCAAAAACAATAAGTTTTAGGATATTAAGTAATCGGACCGTCACCTGGTTGTTTGAGTTTTATTAATAAAGTTGATTAGTGTATTCTCTGCAAACTGTATAGCGTGCGTTGCTTATCGTATACAGACGTGTGTGTCTAAGTGTAGGGAAGTGTAGTAGATTTGAAAATATATGTATTTCTTTCTTTGGGAGGATAATGTAGTAGTGCAGATTTGTGGATGTGAAATTTTAAAAAGTTTAACTTAACTGCCGATATAACTGGCTAATTGGAATTGTATTTGGGGTAAACGGCTATCCAGGGCACATTAAATATTGGAAATCAGCGGCACCCGATTTTGACAGGTTGACGCCAACACCTTTTGAAAAAGGCTAATTAATTGTTAAAGGAGAGTGTGAGGATTAGCTGGTACGGACCGTTTAATTAAATGAATGGTTTTATTCTGATAATAATAATACTAACAATGTTTAAGTCGTTAAGTCATTAGGCAACGAACTAGAGAGTAGCATTGGCAAGCATATTTTCTATTTGATTAATTGTGGCCCTTGCGCAAAATCGTAAAGATAATAATAATGAATTATAAGAGATATTACCACATAAATTATGTTAATAGTGCATTTAATGTAATATTTAATTACTAGCTTGCACCTGCAGCTCTGCTTGCGTCAATGATGATTTTGTCAACAAACTTTCCTTGACAAAAAGTAGCTTATGGGCTATTCCAAGCTGTAATCTATTTATGTGCAAATTTTCATCCAGATCTGTTCAGTCGTTAAAGCATCATAAAGTTTTTGGGATGTAAATCCTATAAACTTTCGAGTTTATTAAAATATTTATTAGATTTTGGTTTGGATTATGATATGGATTCGCCTACAAGTGAACCGTTTTACATTCCTCTTGCACAAATACACACAGTAACACAGACAAAGTCAATTAAGTTCATAGTAAAGGTAATCAAAGCATCGAATGCGAATGTGTGTAATTCTTATGAATTAGAACTTCTCATTAGTTCCAATAATTTGCCCTGGTTTATGATTATTTAAACATTTCTTTGTAGTTTCAATTCAAACATTTTTGACCATCAGAGGTCAAACAACGCAGTTTCTCTACATGTTGCGGCCGTGGCAGTTTTGTATAAAACATTTATAGACATTACAATTAAGCCGATTTTAGGTTTTTTTATATATAAATCGTGCAATGTATGTATCACATTTTATGTTTTTAGATGGCTTAGAAGCAGAGAATTCGATTGCCAGATGTGCATTTCTCTTAAGAAAGCTAGTTGATGAAATCCAATCCTGAGCAAGAGGAGCTAACATGACAATGCGTGAACTTAGTGCACTGACTCCTTGGACGATTATGAATCTGATGATATGAAGCGTCGACTAACTGAAACAATTTCATTTTAGTTGTGATACGATTTAAGTAATTTGATACGAAATTCATATCTAGGACAAGAGTTTAGAAGTGATAATTTCATAATAATAAATAATTATTTACCTTTATTTGAGTACACATCCATAAGAGTACATTTCACAACCACCATTACAGTCTACTCTAACCGAATTCGGTCAAGAAATACTTATTATCAGTCTCACAGTTTAAAACTATCATGATATATTTCAATATACTCTCTATCTAATATATACGGGACCAGCTAAAATAGGTACATTTATCCTAAATAAAAAATATTGAGAGGAAAAGATCTGCAGAAGAGGCTTGATATCTCGAAAATATTTCAGTTTGCGAAACTCCGTTGGCTGCTAATCCAAACCTGCAAAATCAGCATGCACCGCCAGTATGTCACTACCTTCACCTCTGCCAACCTACCGAACGATAAGTTTGATTGGGCGAAGAAGCGTACGAACGCATGGGTCTTCATTCATGCTCCTGGTGGAACAGAAAAATATTCAGTGACATCTTGAAGAGGTCAGGAGATTAAAATGTTTTTTTTTACAAAGAAGATTAGATTTATTCGACCATTCGTTATTCTTCATGTTTATGACGGTTACCTTGAACTCTTTTAATTAACGTTGTCCGTGCCAATATATTTGTGCAATATTTTTGGAATACCTAGTATGAAGGTTGGTTAAAAGAATTATTATCGACCACAAGTAGGCTCCATCAGTTAAAGTTAACAAATACTGCGTGATATGACGTAAATAGTGGATAAGGAAATATATATAATAGTGAATAATATATATATTGTCTGCTGGAGAGAGTAAAAAGAAAACGGGTTTGTCAAGGCATCTGTTAAAACTACACTGAATTAACATCATAATGGAGGCAACATTTCTTTAGGATTACACGGATAGTGTCAGGTTTGCCTAAGATTGGAGCTCTTCCAGTCACTGAGTTAATGCTTACAATGTAGTGGCATATTGGGCTTCGTTTGGACTATTTCATAAATATTGAATTTACCTATCATATGTTGTATTGTAGACGTGGACAGATGGGTGGTGGTGGGCGTGTGCGGGGGGGGCGCGGGCGGCGCGGGCGAGCGCGGCGTGGCGCCACTGCGCACGCGCGACGCCACTAGCAAGCGTTCGGTAGAACCATCGTCTACGCCTGTACCCAGCCAGCGATTACAAGGGAACCTGTATGTACGCGGTGGACGTTTATTAAATGTGTTATTATATCTATAGTAATAAGCTAATAAACAATAGCGTAATAAGAAAATTATGATCCAGTTAATCTCTAGAACTAACTGAAATCCAAAATTGCCGAATCTGATCTTTTTGAATTCAAAAAATATACATAACTTGAAATTGTTTAAATATATATATTACACAAACTAAACGAATTACGATAAAATGCTCACGTGTAGGTGTGTCCTGTGACTTCATTTCTCACGTACACTTGATCTAATAACCACCTCGGCGATAGACCAGAATTATCATGTCCAATGCGCAATGTTGATAGTATTCCCAAGTTCTTGTGCTAAAGGTATACGGAGTGTAATATTTTTTATAGCCACTTTATAAGTTATAGGATTCCTAACAAACACTCAAAGAAATAAGGACTATAGTAATCATGCAATAAAGTTTAAGTTAGCAGCTTAATAGAAATATCTATGCTATTACTGTATTTATATTTACTATTGCCAAATCAGGTTGTTCATACGTAATAAAAGGTAGTTCATAGGTAAGGTTTTTGACAAACTAAGGGAAATAACTTCCCGAGATCAGAATGTGCAGGATTGTGTGCTCTTTATAGAATAGATGCGAACGTGTATCGAAATTAAAAGCGAGCACTGTACTTATAGTATAAGATCCCAGAGCCTTAAGACTAACTTATTTTCAAAGAGATGAAACCTTAGGTTCTGAGTAGTGTGTCATGTACTTTTAATAACTGCGTGCTTGTGGAGTACGCTCTGTGACATCTGGGCAGGTACCAGGTGAGAAAGGTAACTAAAAACAAGAGTTACTTAACTTAAATTTATATGACTGATTTTTATATGTAAATACTTTGTATAATATTACTCTGAAGTAATATCAAAAATTTCAGATGCTTACCATGGACCAGAAAGTCAGAGCTCTAAAAGAAATATATGAGCTTAACCTATTTTTAAACATGTTATTAAGACAACTATTACAATTTTTTTTTTAATCAGTCAGACAAATTGTAATGAACAAACATCCTCTAAACACAAACATGATTCAACCATGAGTATGAGCGCGAGAACACTATGCATGCGTTTCAGAGCGAGTCCCAGCTCTGTGTCCAGGTGTTACAGAGCGAAGTCTACAAGCACGCAGGTATTAAAAGTACATGAGACACTACTCAGAGCCTAAGGTTTCATCTTATTGAAAGTAAGTAATGTCTTAAGGCTGTACGATCTTACTCTATTAATAGGCCCTACTAGCAGCGCCTAAGGATATATGCACATCAATAAGTTATAATACTTACATGGAAAACGAATTCATTAGTATTCCGAGGGATAGGTATTTTAGGTGTGGATTCGCCATTTGCTCCCGATATTGAGATCCAACAGTTTGCAGTCGTTTGACTAGCTTTCCGCGACGGCATAATTAACACTCGGTAAGGTAGTTCTGTTGAAAAAGGCATTAGCATATCGTAGGCAAGTACTAATAAAAACACGCAGAACGTAAAATTAGTGGAAGTATCTCAAAGAGGATTCTGCCGAAATGATTACTGATTATAATAAAAATCATACATTCTTGATTACAAGTTCATAAGTGTATTTACTTACAGGGGTATTCATGTAAATACTACAGAAAAACGCTCCTTCCACTTGAATCCCCTGACTCAATCACATACACAAGGAGTGTGAAAGTAAGTTTATGTTTTATTATTTTTAGAGGGGACTAAAAAGGAAATATATTTATTAGTACTTGTTGAGTCCCCAGCACATGGGCTCGAAGTGGAATAGTGAGTGTTGTACAATTCCCTGGGGTATTGAGCCAGGGAATTCAAGTGGAAAGAGCGGAGAAAAACACCTAAATATTACTTACTTGTGGTAGGATAGGTATTGGTGAAGCAAAAGTAATCAACGGCGTTCAAAGTTAACAAATGATACAAAAATTGTTCTCTTTCTTCTTCTGATCGAAGAAATGCTGTTCTTTTGTATTGAGATCGTAACAAGGTGGTGTCTGCCAAAAGCTCTCGAAGATGCTTTGACAGTAATTTCTTTTCCAAGGATAATCGAACCCAGGCACGAGCGTAGCCTATTTCTGTCTTTATGTCTGTCATTGCTTGAACATTCCTATAAATCAAGTTTCACTGTTTTTGATTGAACAATAAAGTATTAAGTCAAATTTACAACAAAATTTTAAGTTTAAGTTTGTGTGGTATGAACTTAAAAATAATCCTTTTGATCTTTTATTCAGTCTATGAATGATTAGATTATTGTCAAGTGAAAACTGCTGTCCATTTATTTCCTACTGGAAGTATGAATTAAGAATGAAGGACAGAAAAAGTTCAATAGTTCGTATAAGTAGTAGTTAAACGCTCTTCAGTTTATTTTTATGTATGTTTACTTACCTCATATCGAAAGTTAAACTTTCAGGCAAAGGCCGAAGAGGATTTGGAGGTGGGCAAGATTTCCTTTCAAGAGTCCCGGAGTTGCTGAGACGATCTCGTGAACTATCCCGCGATCCACCTCGAGAACTGTCTCGAGATCTGTTCCCTGAACTAGTGCTTTGGTGTGCTTCAACTTCCGCACCCACCGATGAAAGATCTGTTAAGACTTAACAATTTTAGCAGCTCAATTGGTAAGGTACCGAGGAAAATGGCATTTAATTTTACCCCTAGTACTTTACTGACTATGACTACTCCCGGACTAGTAATATATCCTGTGTCGCGGAGGACTTTACAAACATAATGAAACTGACACAAAGAACACCCAGACTCAGAACAACATTTTGTGGATCAGACATGTTCTATAAAACCTTGTAATGCTAAAATAGCAAACCAGGACACGACTCACACCATGTTAATCTGTGCTATATACATTTGAGACACAAGAAATACCTCTCGGTTCTTTCTCTCTTTTTTTCAACCCATGCATAGAAAGCTTTACTAGACATTCTCACCGGCAGAAATACAATAAAATGCATGTGATGAGAGTAGGAAAAGAACCCTTAGAAACGGTATTGTTTCACTATAAACTTTGGTAACAGATTTATACTTAATTCTATGGTCTCCTTTTTAAACGATGTTGTCATCAAAACAGAAACTGTGTATCCATTTTTAAAATCTGATGCACATAGTTTAAGTTCGAAAATCATTTTACAATTGTAGGCCCACAGTATTGCTGACTAAACACTATAGTAAGTAACATGTACTTAAGCGTTGGCGAAGCCAATCAGTTGCTCCGTCACTTCTGATAAATTAAACAACTGTTCCGACTCTTTTTTAATAAAAAGTAGATATTACCCTAATAAGGAATATAAACAAAATTATGGCAACACTAAATATAAAGAAAATTAAAATTATAAATTTGAAAAACCTAATTTATGAAAATTGTTTAATACTTACAGTCGAGACGTTTGCGTAAAACACACCAAGCCAATGCTGCATGTTTTAAGTTAAAAATAATTCATTACTAGAGACCGCCTAGTGGTCGAATTTTAACTAAATATCTTAAAATATTTTGTTCTATATCAATGACCTCTCTTAACTGTATAGACATTCCATACCATGATTTATTAATTAAATAAATATATAGACTAGACCCTATTTGAATCTTCTGTTGTTTTCTGTTTTCAGATAATTCAAATTTTTTTAACATAATTATATTTATAAAAGAATTAAAGTTTTTGCACTTCTTTTAACATGTTTAATCATAAGCGTATATTTTGAAAATACGAATGCAATATAGATAAAGATAATTCATATTTACCAGGTGTAAGGTAATTGGGATCAATGGGTTTAATAGAGTTGCTGCATTGTTCAAGCTCTTGATAGTTTGTGAGGTGCATCCAAAGCGCTGACTTCCCCATTTTATGTTGTAAGCCATGAGACCATAGCCTCTCTAGCAAATCGCATAGTGAAGCAATCATAGTGCTTTCTTCAACACCAGTTATTGATACTTCAGCTCCCAAGCCTAAGTCAGATTCTTCTGTGCCCATTTTTTCAAGAAGCATTCTTTTCGTTTTACTTTTACATTCCTGCAATGCAAAGAATTTTAGATACAAATAAAACTTGATGCCCTATTAATATCCACTTAGTTTCATGGAAGGTCTCCGAGGATAGATTGTGTGAACAATAGCATCAGAATTGTCACAAGTGCTTTCTTAAGATTCCCACAATACTCATACTCAAGTCAAAAGGAGGAACTCATTAAATAGGTTATTTGAGATGACTCCTGGGATTACATTTATCCTTAGTCATTTATCAACAATATACTCATGCTTAACGTCAACCTGTTGTTCATAATGGATAGTGGAAAAAACCTCAATAAATACATACCTTCAGGAGTTTTCTCAACGAATGCCCTATTATTTTGTGCAATAGCTGCTGGTGTAACATCCGTGGACAGCCTCCTACTAATGTCACCGAGTAACAGTTCCGGTGGGCAATCCTTCACCTGCCATTTTGCATTCTTTATACGCTTCAGACTGTTTGTTCTGAAACATTAATTAAAGAGGAATATAATAAATCATAATTGCATTGTTCATTGCAATTGTTACAAACTAAAGTATAAAAGGCATAGCAAGAAGCACTTCAGTAAACATACATAATACAGATATTGTGCGCGTGTTGCATGGACTTTTTAATACCAAAAAGCCTGTGATTAATATATATTATATATTGGTTTATAGATCTTAATAAAGTACTCATATAGTATAAAACAATATATAAAAATCAAGCAGTGTAATTATACAAAACTCGCACATACTATTTACGCATATTAAGCAATCAAGTATACAGATGAGGGAGTTAGACAGCGATAGAATAATAACCTTCGTTGTTATTCTAACCTGACCTGTATTCACGTATGTATGTATTTGTAGCATTCCATTGTCTACTAACTAAATAGGACGCTGTTGAGTGTTTTTAAGACTTTCGGTAGGACCCAAATATACATTCGTGAGTATAACTTAAATACTTTAAGGTTTACAGAAATTTAAAATACGAACAATTCTATATAAATAGCTTTATTTTTATTTATTTACATACATAAGACTTACATTTTCTAAAAAAGCTTGCATTATAGAGTTACCTTATTTAAGAATGAAGATCTGTCGATATCAAATTATTTTACATTCATAAATTTATTATAATCAATATTAATCTCATGTGAGTACGACAAATAATTAGAATAAATTCAAAAATAATATAATAAAATTTTATTATCACACTATAAAACTAAACATATAAAATCATTTAGAACATATACAATCACATAATACATGAAAGTATTTCATACCACATGCAAAAATTAAAAAAGTCTGTATATCACACAACATTAATAGATAATTTAGCTGGAAGTTTATATGAATGAAACAGAACACTACGCTTCAAGTTGTTTTTATGTATAATAAGATGATTATTTAAGTCGAGTTTTGGATCGCAGTCATAAAACAAGTCGAAACCTACCTGCTATTTATTAAACGATAGCTAGTTATGGTCGCTCGACAAACTATACGTCATTTTGTGTAACAATTGAAAAACCTGGGTAAAATTGACAAAATCAAGAAGGTTTTTCATGAATCAGATGTTTGTTTTCAGGTTAAATATTTTTAATAATACTGGTTTGAAGTGATATTAGAGAAAAGGAGAAAATTATTGTTTAAATAATTACCACGATGACACATAATTCGGGTGAAATTCTGCTCAAATCATCATTATTTATATTCATGTCCTACAGATTAAGGCATTATTTTTGTAAGAAAGGCATCACCGACTTCAATGGGGCTTGGTTATTTTAAATTGTAATAAGCTTTGTTTTCATCCCCATTATTGTTAGATATTTCATTAATTATTTGTGTAAGTTAAATATGAAAACGATACGTCCGTCTCTCGAGATTCATTTCCAAAACCTACATGTTGGGGTTAAACTGACTTAAAGAATTGAAATAACTTTTTACTTCTACTTACAATGAGGCCCTCATACACAGTAAATTAAAATTAAAAATAGGAATTCTGTGTAGTTTCATTTAACACTAAAAAACTGGTGCGTAAGAGCAAGGCTACACGACGAGTTAACGCTGCGGTGCCCCGGCGCACCGTAATGAATTCGAAGTATACGGTGGCACACGGGTGGTGCGGCACCGCAGTGCAACGTGTTTTATTGCTACTATTATTATCGGTACTTATCGTATGAAAGAAAAATGATAAATAATTGTGGCTCACAATTAATCAAGTTCGACACACTAACAATATTTAAGTGGCGGCACGTCGTCACTCCGGCGCCGCAGCGCATTAGCCCTCCGTGCCGTCCCGCCAATCCAGGTGCGCTTGCGGCGTACCGCACCGTCAATGCATCGTGTGGCTTCGCTCTGAGTCACGCGATATCTTCGCCAAATATTACATCTTATTTTCTTCAAATTTAAAATTGTATTTAAATTTGAAGAAAATATTACATCTTATTTTCTTCAAATTTAAAATTGTATTCAAAGCACAATAGGATCACAAACTTAAAGTGCCTTGACTACAACTATTTTTTTTTTAATTGATTGAATGAGTGATTCCCAAATGGCGAAGATATCGCGTTACTCATACGCATAGAAAATTAAGATTGCGAATGCATACAGCTTATTGTATGCTATTTATCAAGATTTAGAAGCATTAAAATCGTTGATTCTTTATATAATTATTTAAGACTGAAGTGTGACATTATTCTAAACACACAGCAGGCAATTGACGATCGATTCGGATATGTGGATTATCCGGCCTCTGGCTGAACAGCCGTGTCATTTTCTAAATAAAAATTCAAAATAATTTAACATAATAATTCAAACTATCAAGGATATAGTACTTTTAAATATAATAGGCATATTAAATGTATATGTTGGCGGCTTTAGAGCAGTATTTTTTTTATATATATTACTGCAACTATACTCTATTATATATATGGTTTCGGGAAGACGAATTTAGTAAAAGGTGCAAAACTTAAGTTATATTCATATTTATTCTATTTAAAATTATGATAAAAAAATTATATACTTTAGTTTTGTCTAATACGTGTTGGATACACCTGAAAAGGTATAAACGACCAAAACCTGCATTTTGTGGTTTGTGAATTAAATTTCAGTATTCTTGTTTAAGTATGTGTGTTTGCGTAATCGATATCGTTTTTCTATAGAAACGAGAATGCTTTGCCATATTTGGTAGTACATGGAATGTCCTATACGAATTTACACAATCAGCAAACAGTTTTTGAAATTGGAAGAAACAATTATTATAACATCGGCAACTGTGGGATTAAAGCTTTTTTATTTATAAAGTGTTTATAATTCGGATTAATTCGAATAGTAAATACATACTTTTTATTCGTTGTAAATATAAAAGATTAGTACAATAAAAATATACTGAGCTGCTTAATGCTCTAAATACGCGTCTGAAAGCGAGATGAGGAAGATTTGACTTTTATATGGCTATGTTATCTTAGTGTACTTGTAAAATGAAAATTTTATCAGGAACTTTAATATTATAAAATGTGATATTCAACCACAATTTGATCAAATTGGTTATGAATTAACTCATTCTTTCATCTCAAGTTAAGGAATCAATTTTCTATTTGTTTGGAAATTAAAGATAATATGATTGTTGTCGTTAATATATGGACTAGCTTATTATCACCATCAGATGAATTTTTAGAAAGATTAAGCCCAAAGATTACAATTCTATCCCATCCAATCTCTTCCTCGCCTCGCCAGGGACGTCCATTAAGCTGTAGTTTATTATAATTTAAAAAAATATTATAGGGTTGATCTTAATATCTAGTTAAAACTTTTATAACAAAATCATTAAGTATATTTTAACAACTGGACTAAAGGTTATGTTAAAAAAGTCCTTTATTTGATGTTCTACTTATTGCAATTTCTAATACACATGCATCTAACTATATCAGCAATAACTAAGAATACTTTATACATTTTGAGGTACTTGTTATCGCAATAAAATATTAGTATTACAACTTATAACAATCATATACATGCTGACGAATACAGTTTATTATGCGTTCAACGCGTTAGTTAACAGTTCTTCGAACTTTACTGAGTATGCGTATCACAGGATGTAAAACATCATTTCTGATAGTTACAATTATAATAAACAATTGCTTGAGATTCATTTCAGGACCACATTATATTGAGGCATTCATGTATAACAACAAATTAGAAGCGATGATTATTTTTTTAAGCAAAACAGATATATCACTACTTGGTAGTGTAAATAAACTAAATAACAAATAAGACATGTAACAGGCTCTCACAACAGCATGCTTTCAAATTAATGTAAACTTTTTAAGTTTATAATAATATGTGAATAACAAAAATCGTATGCCCACCGAGTCAACAATTTCCGTTTCTAAAATATTCGTATCATATTTTTCACAATAAATTATGTGGGTTTTATTTTTTTCAAGTTTACATTATATATGTTCTCATATATTGTTATCGTATGGTGCTTAAAGCATTCATACATATAAACTAATCTACTTTATGTAGTCTGTGTCGGTGACAATATAATTGTATTGTTAATTAAATATAAATTCGACTTTTGTTTTAGAACAGTTATCTCGGTGCGCACCGGGACGAGGCGACATGCAGCGAAACAAACGTTACGAATACACGAGGCACGAACAAGACATACATAAACATGAAAGCTGGATTCCAGGTTAGTAAATAAAGCGGCCAGGGACGAACATGTAGGTCGACATCACTACAGAACTGGATTCGTTCTCTGGTATCGTCGGAACGAATCGTCTGGTATAAAAGTAGAGGAACTCAGTTTAAAAAGTCCAAGTCGGGGTGGGAGCGGGTATACGTCACGCGGTAAAGAATATCTATAGGAACTACGAACGATGTAAATGAACTGTAAATTTCTTACTACCCGGCCAGACCGAGCGAAATAGTAAATACGAAAAGGAGAATGTTATCTATCGTTCGTCCAATAATTTAAAGCGTATAGAGGGTCGAGGAAACCGAAGAGCGGTCCGACGTGAGGGGCGAGAGGGGCGAGAGGGGCGGGGCGCACCTGGTCCCGGCCGCGGGCGGGCGCGCGAGCGCGTGCGCGTCGAGGCGCGCGGGGAAGGCGCGGTAGTAGGCGGCGCGGTGCGGCAGGCGCTCGGCCGGCGCGCCCACCTCCAGCGACGCGCCCGTGCCGCGCGCCGCGCCGCCCGCGCCCGCCCACACGCTGTAGCCGCGCGTCAGCCCGCCCTCGCCTATTCGCCGCCTGAAACACACCTCACCTTACTCCCGTTTCACCTACGCTGTCGTTTCCCTCACTAATGGAGCGTGAAACGAAACATATATCATTATGCGGTTTAAGATGACACACACCTGCCTGAGGGCATCTCCTCTCGTTACACCCATATTAATAGCTATATATACTACGACGACGATTATGATGTAAATAGAATGACATAAACTACCTCGTTCCAAAATTTTGAGAACGCCAGAGTTAGTAATACCGTTTATAAAACGTACTTTATTGATGCAATGTGATGAACATAAGTCTTCTAAACCTTATACCGTTTAGTCTAAGACACACGCTATCGTTAATTCTTTGTTAAATAGACGCAAAAAAAACTACGTCGATACTAATTATATATTCAAGAAAATAATATCTACTTCCCTGGTGGCATCACGTTAGTATGCGGTGGCGCCTGCCTAAGATGTGCATGTCGTACAAAACGGTCGCATACCCCAATCCCATGCTTTGAAATTCACGTGGTGTAAAATTGACATACCTGACAGTTTTTATTCGATGTTCAAAGACTTGCAAACTTGCGTCATATTCTCCCCAATTTCCCATAATCTTGTTGTCGATGAGCGAGGCGAACATTTGTGTTTCGAGGAATCGCGAGAGGAACGGTCGATGTCTCTGCGGCTGGTCTGATAAGAACGACGCTTTATCGAAATTAACCATAGATTCTCTTGCTGACAGCCAAGACTCTCGGTCCTGTAAATTAAATTACGAAAGTAGAAAGTACTTTGGAAAATCCTTTCAATCAATTAAAAACATCATAATTTGTATTGCTCGTGCCAATCCCGTTAATGGGATAATTGATGTCACTGTCAACATTGTTTCTGCGTGTGAGTGGTAATATATATGTGTGCCTGTGTGTATGCGTAAATGTTGCCGTTAACCGTGTCAGAATTACGCGTCTTGACATCGTCGAGAGTCATTCTATGTCGCTAAACTATTCGCGCTTTCAAAGACAAATTTGGCACTTGGACCTTTGACGTAACTGGTGACAAATTAATTAATGGAAATTTTATAATTTTCATCGTAAGTCATACCATTTTTTACTAGGGGTTTTAACATTTACAGATTGTCCCATGTTTACTAATAGGAAATCGATATAAAATATAATATATTTACCTGATCTGGCATTATGACAAAGTTTTCATACATGAGGAACATATGCACGAATCTGTTCAGGAAAGTCTCTCTGATAGCGATATTAAATCTTATGTCTTCATTATATTGCTCTTCATCATTCAATATCTTCTTTTTGGTGGTGGGCATTACTGTATCAGCATCTACATCGTCTATACTAACACCTGTAATAAAAAGACATTAACTACTTGTATGGTCTATCTAATAAAAGAGGTACCGCGTAACTTTTTATACTTTTCAAGACGAAACAAATTTCTATAGGCGTAACTCACACAATTTTAATAACCATTTCCGTAAAACTATGGAATCATGAAGCTATTTTTATTTTACCGCAAGATATACAATTCTTAATGACTAAATTTAAATTTAAATATTTAAAACAAAGCAAAATAAATAATTTATATACAATACATGTTTTATACCAATGCCTAGATGTTAGAACTTTCTTCAAGCGCTCATCATCACATCAACAGACTTTACTAGTCCGCTGCTGAATATAGGCCTCTCCTTAGAAAAAGGGTTTTGACCTACTATACCACGCTGACTAGACGGTTTGGTATAAGGTTTGTTTCATCCGACACGAACGGAATGAATAGGGGTGGTGACACTCCGTATTCTTAATCCGTCACGAGTGCTACACGCTCAAGCGCCATTTTTGATTAATGTTTTTTTAAGAAATAACATCGTTTAAAAACCCCTGATTATTTAACTGTAAAAATGATTGATTTTGATGGTGGGCCAGTAAATATCTCTGTCCCAGTAGCGTCTTCAATCACAGGACGGACACACTGGTACGCGAACCCTGGCCTTTTCAAACTGCAGCAGTTTTAGTCAAGTTTCCCTCGCTCTAATCGTTTTATTTACTTCATTTGCCTTCATTCTTTGTACCGTCTAAAAATGATTACAATCCCAAGGCCATAAAAGAAACTGGTCAGAATCCTTTGTGCACACATTGTACCCTTAAATCGGAAGAGGGGCAGTACAATAATGATGTGAACGATATGACAGTTTAGTTTTGGGTCAATAACACCAACGGTATTAAAAACGCATAGCATCCCACTGGAAACTTTGCAGAAATAATCTCAGACTGACACAATCTCCGTATGATAATTAATGTAACTATAATGATTAAGGTAATTGAGATAAATTTTAAAATTTCTGATTGTCATAACGATTCGAGTAACCAGCTTACCGCTTCGTTTAACAATATCCACGATACGCTGCAACGCCTCGAGACGTAAAGGCGCTCGTCTCGTAGGAGAGGCTGGAGGTGACGAATTCAAGGGGCGGTTTTCGTCCCACTCTAACACGTCATGGAATGAGTGTTTGCGCCGAAGACCACCTGAAAAACAGATATATATCGAATTCATTGTTTAAAGAAAAGGAAATCAACATTTAAAAAAATTGTAATGACAAGTTTATTCACGCTAAAGACTTTCATTTCTGCGTAGACTTGTATGATAGTTGTATGCTCGGTAATACACCATGCGTTGATTTTATTGGAGCTATATTTAAAAATACAACCTCTTGACCTCTCTACTATAAAAAAATCTCTTTTCAAAACTAGTAACCAATGAAAATTAGAGAATGAATTTAGATGTCTAGTAAGTCACAATGTATATAGGTCACAATACATGCTATTAAATAAACAAAATACCTGATGGTAATGTACAGCTGCTGCTCATGCTGTCATTCATGTGTTTGTATGAAGTGCCGTTGATAGGAACGCCTAGTTTAGTCGGTTCGGTTTCTGGTCTCTGAATCTATAACCACAACATTATTATTTTTATTAGATAACCGATAATATTTAACTGTCAATGAATTACGTACATAATTAAAAGTAGTATGCTATATTTTTACTCTAGTTTTCATTTTAAAGAATCCCATGTTGAATAGACCACAACAATAATAAAAAACATACTGCAGTTCTACAATGATTAAAATAAAACAGGCGGTTTAAACTGGCACTTGCTTGCAGATCGAATGATTGACATATCGACTTTATAATATTAGCAACATTATGAGTTTTGTGCTATTATAAGAATCTTTTACGATGATTTTATTGATTTATTTATTTTAAACTATATTCACTATTCTACATCGGCGGACTTAAATATGCCCAGGGCATTCTCTTCCAGCCAACCAGTAGCACAGAGGGTACATATTATGTAATCAATGAAAATATACACTGTTCACTATATACATAAACTTATACATACACATATACACATACATAATAATATGTATGGGAGTCGAACCTACGACCCTTCATCATCATCATCAACAGCCTTTAATAGTCCACTGCTGGATATAAGCCTCTCCTTAGAAAGACGACCATTAGATCTTAGCAATCAAGATCGCTAGCCACTAGACACAGGTCAGTCAGTACATTAGGCCACTAGACCAACAAGTACTTATTAATAAACTATAATACAATATAATATAATAAAACAATATTAATAAAAAAAAATATTAAAAAATAACTGGTCTACCATTGGCTCTTAGAATCTTATCCAACTTAGGCATATTTGATAACTGAAAAAAAATTTTAAACCAAGGCAAATCGAGACTATGATCATGTAATTTACAATAATAATCGTCATTTTTCATTAATTTCTTGTTCAAATATTTTGCTTTCGTTTCTTAATATTCGTTTTTTAATATATTTATATTTTTAAAACATTTTAATTACATTTTTTTTAAAGTTTTCGCATCTTTTCTCTAAAGATACTGTTTAAAATTATATTGATACTGATTGCATTATGCAGTTGTAATTAGTTAAACGCAAGTTATTAATTGCATGCAAATGTACCGATTAAATGCAAATACATATAGTTTATAAGCACTAGCTTTGTATTTCTGTGGGATGAGTAAGGAATAAGCATAGAAACCGCTTACTATTTATTAGGTGAACACTGTTTGCACGTCCTATGTAGGCAACTCACCTGGTGTTTATCTAGTACATGATTCAATTCTTCAATAAACGGTGTCCTATGCGGAAATATCGGTAGTTCTTCAGGAAGCTGTATGTCTGGTTTGTCAATATCTACTAAACATAGAGCTGCTTCGGAGCCAAGAGCGATGCTCCGCGGGCCCCCAGAACCTATGCTCATAGTTGCACTGTCTGCATGGAGACCTGAAGCAAACAATAGAATCTTGTATTTAAAATGGTTCACTTAGTTAAGCTTCTTTAATTTAATACAAATTAATCATAAATATTATTTAAAAGTTAAATAAATAGTATAAATATGTGCATGCTAATTGTAAAATTGTGACATTGGAAGGTTGCTGGTACTTTTAGCTCAGGTATTACCTATTTTAGGTTGAAGCCGAACATATTTTGTGTGCCTGAAAATGTATTGTGAAAGAATAAACAACATTTATGTAGAAGCAAAAAAATGCATAGGTACAATGTAATGGCAAATTCCGAAATCATGTTTATCATAGTTTATATTGTTTATATCACTAGGTATAATAAAGCTGAAGAGATTTTTTATTTGTTTGAACTCGCTAATCTCTGTAACTATCAGTCAGATTTGAATGAAAATTTAATCAATTATTAGATACCATTTATATTAAGGTTTTATACAGCCTATAGAAATTCACGCTACGGCCTTCTACTACACTGTTGAATAAGCGGGCGGTGTAAAAACTATCATTTTCTTATAAACCTTTTTTTAAATACCGATTACTTAAACCAAAATATCAATAAATGTTCAAAAAAAGAACGATAAAAACATTGTTAGTATTTAAAACACAACATACAGATGATGCAAACAAGCGTTAACTAGCACGTCACAATTAGACGTGGCCGCGTGGAACCTATTGACCTTTACAATAACGAGTATTGTCTTACCCATGACGAATGGCACTGGTGCGTCGAGAAAGTGGTACAAAGGCGCCGGAAGTATCGGAACATAAACATGCGCCCAAGTAAACGGTAGGAGTAAAGATACTATACATTCTGCAACCAGCATTAGTTTGTTGTAATCTGAAAAAAATAATAAAATCAAAATTGCGGGCATAACAGTGACTGGCCTGTTGGTTATTAAAGTGGATAGTGACCCTGACTGCTAAGCCTGAGGTTGTGGGTGCGATTCCCGCCCATGTTTTTTTTTTATTCTTGTCTAGGTATAATTTCTCTAAAATATATATGTGTTTAGAAATATATAAGTAAGTTTATCAGCAATCTGGTTATAATAGCTCTGCATAGTTTGGGATAAAGTTAGTTGGCTAGCCTTCGTATTGAAGCAACTTACTTGCCAACACTTAAATAAATATATATATTCAAGACAACTGAGAAAAGTTTACATTGATAAATTACTTTTGTTTATACAGGTGTCCAATAAATTAATAAGACAAAAAAAAAGTTTTTGTATTCCCTGGGTATCGTCGGTATATTCCTGGGTATTCAAATTGTACAAACGTTTTACTTGTTTTAAAATATATGTAATTTGTATCAACACCCTATCTAATCTCTCCTCTACCAGACGAATTTTGTCAGTTATTTTAAATTTTAAGTTAATACAAGTATCGTATTGGAATGAGCCTTTGTATGAATATGTAGTTTGGTATTTTTAGACTAATTTGATGAAGTCATGAAGTCGATACTAGATGTACTACTCCTTGTGGGTCCTAAAAACCCCACGAGTCTGGGCTCATATGATAGTTTTGACGATTCCAACAGACTCCCCAGAAGGGTTTGGAGTTGCCAGAAGGCGAATAGTGGAATTATTTTTTACTTTTTAATTCACTTCTGGCGAATTGCAAAAAAATACACTGCACAGTTTCCTCTCTCATTTCATTAACTTAATTTCACTATAATTATAAATAAAATGTACTAATCATCTTTTTAATGAACTTAATCATCTATGTATCATACCAAAAATTGGTTTTCAAATATAGGCTAATTAATGTGAATCTGAATACTATGAATACCTCTAAAATATACTCCAAATATGTCACATAGTTCATTGACATTAGTTCATTTCCCAATGTTTTCTTACAGAGTGCTACTAATTCGCCATTCTATTTGAATCCAAACTATTTCCTGGCTATTCTAACACTGACACCAAATTGGTCTATTACAAATGCTTTAACACTCTTGTGTATGTTTTTTAAATGATAGTTGTGCTGAAGTATCACAACAGTACAGTGGTAAAATGTCGTCAATATATCTTTTAAACCTATTCTTATTCGCAAATATTTGTCAAGATGCGAACAAAACATACGTAAAATAGATTCTGAGCGATTTAAAGAAATGTTCTCCTAGTGATAATGTGTCTGGGGGGTCAATATTTTTGAAAAACAAGAATAATATAATATAAAATAAGTATTTTGCTTTAGGTAAACATCCAATGCATCCGCTTTTGTCCTAGCTTTCAGATATCATGTTGAAAGTATCAAAGAGAAATCCTTACTCGAATTCAAGGTCAGATAAATGATGGGAGTTCTCTCGCTCGATAACCTGATTGCGGCTATCGTGCGGAGCGAGAGTGCGTGGAACTCTGCCGTCTCCTTCTGCGAGCAAGTTATGCTCGCGAAGGAGACGGCGGAGCGGGACCGGGAGAGGTTTAGAACTCTCCCGGCCCGCCAGGCCCGGGCACGGGCCAGGCAGCGCAGGCGACTCAGGCGCCGGAGGTCGCAGAACGACCTTCGTCCTCCATAAGCGCAGGCCTGGGGGTGACAGGTGAGGCCATCTGTCACCCTAGCAGAAGCAGGCCGGGGTGGCGGCGAGCGCGTTGCGAAGCGCGCTCGCTTCCAGGGAGCACAGGGAACATGGGGTTCCCACACGGGGCGGGGGTCGTCTACTCGTCTGTAGATGACCCGAGGTATGTCGGGGCACCAGGGCCTCCCTTTCTAGGGTATACCTGGTTCCCCGGCTATTAGTACCCGGCGAAGGCGTGCGGTTTTAGTCGGTTCGGGTCATGGACATGCCACCGACAGGTGTTATCCGAGGGGATTTCCGCACGGGAAAAAAAAAAAAAAAAAAAAAAAGGTCAGATAAATGAGTGAGAATAATACCAAGATTGTAAATGCATCCTTATAGGGTATTTTAGTTTTTATTGCGTTAAGTTATTGAACTAATATTACTAGCGTATAGATCTGACGCCGCGATTCAGTAATTTGGGTCATATGTTAGTGCTGGCCGGCAGAAACGCATTCAGTCGCTCGGCTAAGATCTTAGTGATCGAACTAATGCCTTAATTGTGATTAACATTGCAATTCAAAAATGATATGACTGCATAGGAAAAATAGTGGTGTAACTTTTCATCGGTAAATAAACAAAACATTAAGTAAACTACCTTTTTATTAAGTAAATCAAAACTAACTTTTACACATTTTGTACCCGCCATTTATGAATGAAAACCATAGATTATGAAAAGTAAACCGTTCCGATTGACAAGTAATCTTTGTTGAATTTTTTGACTTAAATGTGAGATTGAGTTAGCGCAAGCTCATTTACTATGACAACTTAGCTCAAATTTCCTGAAGAAATCTGCTATACCAACCTTGCGTAGATGTAAGTTACAATAAATGATTAGGAAGTGTGTATGTGAGAAATATTTACATCTATAATTCAACAATCTTAAATCAACGAACACATCTGATACCGTACCACGGTACCCTTCATGCGCGAGTCCGACTCGGTCGGTTTTTTACGGCTATCTATAAAAACTACAAAAAAATTACGTTTGTTGTATGGGAGCCCCCCTTAAATATTTGATTTATTTTAATTTAATTGTTTATTTTTAAAGTGAATTTATAACTAAATAATCTGTGAATGTTTGAAGCGTCTACCTGTTGCCGTAATCAATAACGAGCAAAAAAATCACGCTTGTTGTATGGGAGCCTCCCTTAAATATTTATTTTATTCTGTTTTTAGTATTTGTTTTTCAGCATCATCATCATCATCTGTGAAAATTTCAACTGTCTAACCATAACGGTTCATGATATACAGCCTGGTGACAGACGGACAGCGGAGTCTTATTAATATGGTCCCGTTTTACCCTTTGGGTACGGAACCGTCATCATCATCATCAACAGCCTTTACTAGTCCACTGCTGGACATAGGCCTCTTCTTAGTAAGGAGGTTTTGGCCTACTACACCACGCTGGCCAGACGGGTTGGTATAGGGTTTTTGTCAAGTTTTCTATCTCTCTGCAGTGCTGTTGTCCTGCGTAGAACCATAAAAAGTAAATAATTTGTACAGAATGGTTAAGATTAATTAGGTAAACACATTACTACAAAAATATACCTAAGGCCTTTATTTTCTTTAATGAAATCAGGTAAGCAGAATAATAAAAAATGTCGCATCTCCATGCATTACTTTGTTATCTATGAGAACGTAACACTCCCCCGCTGTCAGTCAGTTGTCAGTTGCGTGCTATCTTTTGTTCGAAATGGCTTCTCTAGTACGTAGTACATTATAATTCAATGCATTAAGTCAGCAAAATAGCACCGATAAACTGATACCATAGTCTATGGACGATTGCAGCATGTAAAAGGATTCCTTTAGTCAGATCATATTTATGTTACGGAAGTAGGTACATATTGCATCTTGTTTTTGGAACGAAGTTCCTTTTCGCGGGTTAGACGCTCTGAACAGATGGGAGCGAGACCGAAAAATGTGTAACAACAATTTTGCGTCCGTACCCATTTTTTTTTCTGTGCGGAAATCAACCCGGATACCACTTACCGGTGGCAATGTCGGACTCGAACCGACTAAAACCACACGCCGTTTCAGGTACCAGTAGTCGGGGAACCAGGTGTACCCTAGAAAGGAAATCCCTGGTGCCCCAAAGTACCTCGAGCCCTCTACGGCGGGTAGACGACCCCCCTCCTGTGTGGGCACCCCCATGTTCCCTCTGTGCTCCCGGAGGGGCGCGCCGCGCTTTGCAACGCGCTCGCCGCCACCCCGGCCTGCTTCTTCAAGGGTGACAGATGGCCTCACCTGTCACCCCCGCTCCGCCATCTCTTTCGCAAGCATAACTTGCTCGCAGAAGGAGACGGCAGAGTTCCACGCACTCTTGCTCCGCACGATAGCCGCAATCAGGTTATCGAGCGAGAGAACTCCCACTCCGATGGCCGCCACGAGGTCTCGCCTTTGCTCCACCCACGCCAGGCATTCTGCCAGCGTGTGGAGCGCCGTGTCCACGGTCCGACCATCGCAGTGGTGGCACTCAGGCGTGAGGCGTCAGGTGATCCCCGAAACATCCTTTCAAAGTGATCACCTGCGTCAGACGGTATGAGAGGGTCCCGTGATGCCTCTCGAGCCCATCCGAATCCTCCATAGCGGGTCTTACCGCCGCGATGACGGCGTGCCCGATCGATCTCCTGCTTCACCTATCTCAGTTTATGTAATGTAACTTATTCTGGATACATTATTTACGTTATATTATGCGTTAATACACATCTATTTATGAGTATGTCCGTTAGGTTTAGTATAGCTAATTTGGTATCTTAAAACTGTATATCATCGAAAACGTAAGGCGCAATTTAAATTCCGTTCATAATACATTAACTTGGAGATATTGAATATTCTTATATTCAAATAAAACCTTGATATGATTTGCGCAATATATTAGCATTTCAATATTGACTCAATATTTGTGCATGTTGAATCACTCAGTTAATATTTTATATAATAGGTCTATCTGAGAAAAATATGTTAGCTATCAGTAAAAGAGAAAAAAGATATACTTACCGCTTGACCGGAGCAAAACTTGGTGCTCTAATAGAACACATGTGAATAGCTGCACAACACATTCGACACCTAAAGTCGAAAACATCACCCTTAACGGATAATCTAGAAGAGGTAACTCATCAGGAACATTTGGCATTCTTATCACCTGAAATAGATAAAAATGTTCCACTGCCACGTATTTCATGTACGCACTGACGTATAGTTAAAAGACAGTTATGTGTAGGTATGTACTTAGTTTCCTTTGGTCACTAAACTATAGTATATTATAAAAAGTTTAGTAAGTCTAGCTTAGTGACCGAAGGAAACTACATAAAAATATTTTCATGGACCCTCACGCTTGTATTACAATTAAACATTAAAGGCAATAGATTGTTTACTTTTAAAGCATAATCAAATGATCTCTGAATTTCAAGCAAAAAATTAAAGCTTAACTTTCAGCAGCTGTTGCTGTTTCCATTTCTAATTCTAGCAATATAGAGGCTTTGGAATAGAATAATATATTCTTAGGCTTTTGGTCCTAGAATCACATCACATCACATCAACAGCCTTTGATAGTCCACTGCTGGACATAGGCCTCTCCTTAGAAAGAAGGTTTTGGCCTACTATACCACGCTGGCCAGGCGGGTTGGTATAGGGTTTGTGTCAAGTTTTCCGTCTTTTTGCAGTGCTAGTGTCCTGCGTTGTTTTGCGCCCTTAGTCGGTTCTTACGACACCCACGGGATGAATTGGGGTAGTGACATTCCGTATTCTTAATCCGTCACTACACGAATAATTTGGTCCTAGAATAATCAACAAAAATAGTAGCCATTTATTTTTTATTCTCAAACATGGAATGTGTTGTTCAACTGCTTTCTTCAAACAAGCACATGACTATTATCATTAGCGACAATAGAAGCTTGAGAAGGCCATGTTTATCACGGTCTTTACCAATTTTTTGTGTGAGGTAAGAGTGTCAGGTTAGACTTTTAAAGAGGCAATTGTACCGGCTGTCTGATGACCACAAAAACTCAAAAGGTAATCAAACTTACAACAGGAATTGGATCCAAATGTGGTTCAGAAGGAGGCACATATAAACGTAAAGCTTGACCAGGCAATGGCACTGGAACTTCATATAACAAGTTGTAGACATAAGACTCGGGGCTAAGCCCTGGGCCTGGTTGTCTAGGTAGAGATCTGAAAAAAAATTATATTGAGGGCACAATTTTAATCAGTAATTGAAGTCATTAGTATTTAATGTCGTGGCTAACGTGGTAACTAGTAGTTTGACACATTGCAAAGTTAAGCAAGCCTAGCCAGGCTAGTCTGTGGATGGGTGATCATTCAACACATTGAGACCCCTCCGTGCCTCCGAGAGCACGTTAAGCCGTCGGTCCCGGTGCACGAACAACTGTGTTACAGGTAGGAGCTCTAAAAAGTCTGACAATAGTCTTTCTACAGAACTTCAATATCACATAGTACTTGCGTTGTGGATATCTAATGGCAGTCAATCTGCGTAAAAAATCTAAGTTCAGTTCATAGTAGACTTGAAGGCGACCCCAACCTAGTTTGGAAAAAAGTCTTACTGGAAAAAAAACATGTCAAAAGCTCTACTTTCACATTGACTAAGATTGGGATATTCATGTCGTTTTATATAACACTAGCTGAGACCCGCGGTGTTACCCGCGTTTGTTGTTATAACCGCGGGCAACGCCGCGGGGCGAAGCTAGTCTAAAAAAAGTAGCCTAAGTTACTCCTTATGTCATCAGCTATCCGCCAGTGAAAGTCCCGTCGAAATTGGTCCAGCCGTTCCAGAGATTACCCGGAACAAACAGACAGACAGACAGAAATTGAAAAAAATGTTATTTTGGCATAGGTACCGGTTATTTTAATATTACACACAGGCACTCCAATTTTATTTATTTGTATAGATTAATTTGATGTAAGTTATGGTTTCGGTTGATGTGTTTTTCTGTCAATATGGCTTGCCTAAGAATATTTTCTGAAAAAGAATATAATCCTAATCTATGCACACAATCCAAATAGATTCAAGAATATTTTTTTCTGTTTACCTCTGTGTATCAGCAAAAAATTGAACCAATGTGCTTAATAATCACAATTAGTGAATTGTCACTAATTATATTTATACACTTATTATTAAATTGTTAGCAAAAATAATTGTAAATTTTACCTGAATAAATTTTCTAAAAACAGCTGGGCAACCCTCACATATGGATATTGACATATGAGAGCTATACTTTTGGCTACATATAGTTTATCTTTGGCTATATCATAGTATGTGAGTGCAGCACCAGTATGTGGGGTGAGTTTAAATGATCTTGGAAGTGATCTAGAACTTTCTTTGCCTGAAGCTTTCCTATGTCCAGGGGGAGTTTGGCCACTAGACAATTCTGTAATATACATTGCCTGCAACATAAAAGTATTATTTGTTGACATATATGTCTTGTTTTGGGCCTTGTTTAAATTTACTTTTCTATCAATAAGTCTTTCATGTTTTGCAATTTAAAAACAGTTGTATTTAAAAAGGCCTTAAAATTTTATTATGGCTTAAAAATTTATGCATGTAGAAATCTAAGCACATCCAGTATATATGATCTGTCATGTACGGAAAGTCTGTACAATAGCAGTTCTTATTATGCTGGGCTATGAAATGAATATCAACAGGTCATGTCTAGTTACAAGTGTGGTTTATGTTGTTGATCAAATTATGTCCAAGTATGTCAAGTATGTAAGTTATGTCAAGTCTTTTCAAGATTCTGAGGTCTACTATATATACAAATATATTTATATAAATCTTACTTGTAATGTATGCATGGCACTACATATGTTTCTGTTCCTAACTTCTTCATAGAAGATAAGGCTGAATCCATAGTAACGAGATGCATTTTCTCTTGTTACTACAAAACTATGAAACTTAGGTTCCAATGAATGTTTCTGTGTCCTAAACTGAAGTCCTGCTGGGAGACAAAGCTGCAAATAATAAATTATATGTTAACTCTAGTTAGTTAATATTCAGTCATAAGAGTTCAAAATTGTGACATTTAATAGTTGTAAAGTAATGTATTGAATCCTCAACTAATGTGTTTCCAAAAATATATGTGTTTTTAAGTAAATAAATAAATATTATGTATAAAATAATCTATATTTTCAAATTATGTTTCCATATTAATAATAAGTAGTAATAGTTATATTTGGTTGCAATATTTTCCAATAGGAACAAAATTGAAATAATTTATATATTACAATTATTACATTTAATTATATTAATTATTATTAGGCCAGGTGGAGTGACGATTTGCGCAAGATGGCTGGCAGGAGCTGGATGCGAGAAGCCCAAAATCGATCTAAGTGGCGTGCAATGGGAGAGGCCTATGTCCAGCAGTGGACTGCGATAGGCTGATGATGATGATGATGAATTATAATGCATAGTATAGCACCTATATACCTACATTACAAATATGAATTGACATCCTTAAAGCAAGAAAACCTAAAATTAGTTTTATCACAATAGTATATAAAGGGATATTTGATTGTCAGTCAAGGTAACATTTAAATCTGATTAACCACTGTGTGGTTGTCAAACTTACTGAATAGAAAATCGCAAGACAAAGACTTCTTTTAACACTTTTTAATAATCTGATACACTTACCATACATGCTGCATGTTCATCAAAAGGATTACTAGATATATTTTCAGGATAGTGAGCTAAAATTTTTCCCTTATAGGAACGATCCAAGGGAGATACATGAAGATTGTCGCCTAAAATAAAGAACGGTTGCTTATCATTCAAGATAAAAATAATGCAAGCCGTGTCGTGGGACCGATACTTACCACACAGCCTATCTGGTTCCAATCCAGAGTCAAAGTCTAGCCCACATATTGCAAAATAATCCGCAAATCTACATCCAACAGATAATTCAGAGACAGACATATTTCTATCGACCCGTTATTTACTATTTGAGACACTTTCTCTTCGACTCTCCAGATGAAGGTTTTGTCTCAGCATTGTACAATTACACTTAATTTCGATACGAATCAATTTTTTTAGTTCACATATTTGATCTTATAACTAATTTTCATCGCTAATGAAACAAATATAAATAAAAATGAAAATCTCTTCACGCCATCACTTCACACAGAACATACAGACGTGCACAAACGACAGCTGCCAAACTTACGTACGACACCGCTCCTCTCCCTTTCAACTCCTACCCTTCCCCGCAAGTCTTGATCATTTTTCTGAACGTCTCCGCATCGCACTATGTATTGTAAAACCCATTTTTCGGACATAATCTCTTTATTACAAAAACTTATTAAACCAATAATTTAGAACGTTAGATTAAAACTCTGTAGCCACAAATATCACTAGTAAAGTCAGAAAAAAAAATTGAAATTTCATGAAAATTGTGCCTGATAAAGTTGAAAGTTTATAAAATAAATAAATATATATATATATATAGATTCTAACCAATGATATTATATACAAACAAGAGGCCATACGCCACCAATGCACAAAACACGAGGGTCCTAATTAGACCATTGCGAGCGAGCGCACGTACTAATTAATTTGAGAAAATTCATGAAATGCCTTCTTGTGTATGACGAAAGTGTACAAATTACGACAAAAAGGTAAATAAAGATAAAGGAATTTCATACCACAGGTAAATGTATGTTTTATTCTAAATTGCATGCATTAATAGATGTATGTACGGTTTCTTAACAAATATTTTGTGCGTGCAGTTATATGCATACGTGTCCTTAAAATATCATTGATTAGAACATTGAACAATGCTACATATTTAAAGGCTTAGACCTAATTTCTTGCTTAGAACTCGAGATAAATGATTTAAAAAAACATTGGTTTTATTTTTGGAACGAAGGCGTATCGACGCTAACATATATTTCATATTAATATATAGCAAACGTCTACTAAATAGCGAATAGAACTTCGTTCCGACCGAGCGTCCATAGGCCCCTCACCCCGTTTTTTGGAACAAAATTCCTTATCGCGCGTTAGACGCTCTGAGTGGATGGGAACGAGACCGAAAAATGTGCAACAAGACTTTTTTCTGACACTATAGCAAACGTCTACCAAAAAGCGAAAGGAACTACGTTCTAACTGGGGGTCCATAGACCCCTCACTCTTTCACAAAAACTCCACTGTTATTGGAAAAGATTTAAATATCAAATTTAAAGTCTGTTCATACCCTATTTACAAAGAAATAACTACATCCAAATCACGTGGAGTTTAGAAACTACGGCCCATTTTAGTTATATCCGAATAATTTCTCACTCGTATTGTCATTTTTTGGAATAATATATTTATCCGGGGTGTAATTTTTTTGTGAGGACTCGGAAACTGGTGGACACAGAACTATATTAAAGCACATATTATTTAACTTTTATTTAGTTTGTAGTGTATGATAATAAGTTTATTTATCTTGGAATTTGAATTAGAATCCCTTCTATCTTACACAGTTGAAATTTATTACATGATCTGAAGTAGGGTTCGAGACTTGCTAAATTATAATTAAACTAGCTGTTGCCCGCAGCCGTCCACAGAAAACTGTTTATTGTACCACATTATATTTTTAAAATATTAGAAAACTTAAAAAAAAGATGAATTAAATCGGTCAAATCGTTCTCAAGCTTAGATTATTAATATTATTAAATGTCTAGATATAGCATCGCGCTACAAAATAACAAAAGGAAATGAGCCGAGTTTTCAATATTATTGTGCGTGACGGCTTGGTCTTAAACTCACGGCACGTCATTCTGCTTTCCTAGAGTGCGTGCATAAATGATACCAGTCGTTGAAAATTTTCTTTTAAATATGGGAAAATTTCTAACACTGTTAAATCTAATTTAATCTAGAAGAAAAATGGTCCAAGAAAAAACAATAATATAAATATGAGTAGAAAATAATTAAATGTACCTAAACGTCTTAATCAACACGTTTTCACACACGTCACTAAACTAAACTAAGCAGAGCTTGAGCCTATACTAAGAAAGCTAGATTGACTGCATGAATACTTTTATACTTTTTTTGTAAATCCGTATATATTTATATAGAGAACACACAAATTCCGAAACAAATATTTGTAAATCATACGTTTGTACGATTTACAAATATAATTATTTTTGTCCTAACCGGGTATCGAACCCGAGACCTCTGAACAGCCGTTGCACATGTTACCCCTGTACCATAGTTTCTTAGTGCACACCTGCGTCACCTAAAGAACATTTGTACAAAATTTTATGCTTCTAGATCCAGCGGTTTCAGCTGTACGTTGGCCCATCAGTCAGTGAATCAGTCTGTCAGTTTTTTCTTTTACAGAAATAGATAAATGATTAACGTTCTTAAAAATAGGATGGATTTTCTCCAAGTATCTTATAATCCTGATTCAATTTGTAATCCTAATGACTACTACCAGACAAGACAATCAAAATAATATGATGCAGGGCATCAAGTGCCATTTCTGGTCAGACAGCGCTATTATTATTCTATAGTTGCTTGGAAGCTTGCCCCGAAAGCATATTCTTCACTAAAGTTTAAGATTTCCGCTGGAGATCGAAAGTAGTCGAGCATTCCCGATGAAAACACGTGAGTTAAGCCGTTAATAAATATTTGTATGATAAATTATTAAAAAATACTTAATACATAATGAGGAATATAACCAGTACTCGCACATTGCTACATGTATATTATTTCAAATAATAAAAACCAGGTTATATCCTCTAACAAACCTAGTAAATACAAAAAAACAAAAAAAAAATTTAAACTGAGAAACATGAGATTTGGATGTAGTAATTTTCTTGTATAAATAGTAGTAGATCTCAACTTAGGTCGATATATATTTATAAAATAGGTTTATATATTGCCCAAATACAGTGGATTATTTGACAAAAGAAAACAAAACTTAAAAAGAATATATCTGGTTTTAACCAAATTACGAAAGTAAAATTTAAAACTTTCATGCTATTCCAAATCGCTTAGCTCAGTTCTTTTTATTTTCTTCAGTTTTCAGCTCAGATTATTTCTTAACTTTATCCGGGTGAATTATTATGCAATTTCAATCATTTGTTTTGGCTGTAATCATATTTGTTATTTGGGAGTTTTACTCTAGCGTTCTAAATACTTAGTATTATATATTTTTGTAATAAAAAGGGGATGTCCGATAAATGAGTCTTAAATACATAGTGCGTCGGTTGATAAGACGACGAGCGATACATACTATGCCTAGACAACGCTTTTAGTGATCATCGTAATGACGAATAAAAGACACTAATAAGAACATTTGTACAAACTGGTCTAGGCTAACGATGAGTTCCAGTTTATTTAATTATTATTTTTACAGTTAATACTTTATTAGAGCAGTAACACATCTAATTCTGTTGTCTTTCTTGATTTCGTCTCAAAATAAAACTTTTTTTTTAGTTCCAATAGAATCGTCTTCAGCTTCAACAAGCATTTACAGTATCTTCTTCCAAGTTTATTTTTTTTAACGAATCCTCTATGCGTGGTAAATTAGAACTTTATTGCTCAGAATATTTTTTTTTAATTTTAAGGTGTTACCGAGATGTTATTTTCAAAACCGAAAATTTGCAGTCACCAACCAAATTTAACCTGGTGTCTGAGGCTAGATATCGGCTTTCAAGCTTTTAGGTTTGCAAACCATATACACAAAACCAGCTTCCAGTTTCATCGCTTATTCAAACAGTTCAATCGATAACTCGACTACTTCAAACATAGACGTCGAATGCATCACGATGAAATCGATTGACTATCTTAATTGCAACGACACTAGTACAGAAACTGTCAGCCAGAAGTAGTAGAAGAACGAGAACAGTGTTGTGTTTGTCATAGCGAGACGAAGCGAGAATAAATGTGGGGCGTGATTGTCATTTCTATAATAGTTAAAGCTTGGGTTTTGTAATTAATATAATGTTGGATATAACATTATAGAAATCGTCCTTGTTAAATTTTTAGTTAAAGATTTTTCAGTTTTAGTGGTGTGTAATTTATCGCAGTAATTCAGGAGAATTAAGATAAGGTAAATTTAAATAAATATACTTTAGTACTTTCGCTTTCAGCTATTACTGGATGATGGTTGAGATTCACTCTTAGTTTTGTATAATACATGAGTTTTTGCTCATTTTCTGAAAATTTAAACCCAAATCGTTATCATTCAACACTGCCAAATTCTGTGAGGAAAACGGTTGTGCTAATCTAACGTCATTATTTTTTGTATGACATTTTTTTTCATTCTATGGAAACAAGCTTTTAATTTGTAGTACTATCTATAATGTAGTTTGAATTTTCATTTACATTTTATTTAATGATAATTATGTTGAAGCCTCCACTTCTACTTGGAAGAAACTACTTAATCCTTTTAACCCACCTTATATTTCTTTAAATTCTTTAACAGAAAACAATGTGATTGTAAAAAACGATATTCTTGTTTTAGAATGTTAAGAGGACGAGTAAAACATTTGATGCATTGCACCTTTTTCCTATCATTTATATTTCTGTTTCTTGTGTTTGCTGGAGCTATAAATTTGAGTGGAACAGAAAAAGAAATAATAGATCCCTGGGAAAGATATGGAATTTATGGTACATTAATTTTATATGCATTAAGACTTTTTACATTACTAACAATACCACAAGTTTTGTGTAACTTTGCGGGACTCACTCTTTTTAATGCTTTCCCTGGAAAAGTAATGCTGAAGGGATCTCCCCTACTCGCACCTTTTATTTGTATAAGAGTAGTCACTAGAGGTGACTTTCCTAAATTAGTGAGGGATAATGTAACAAGGAATATGAATATGTGCAACACTGTTGGAGTGGAAAATTTTATGATCGAAGTTGTAACTGATAAATCTATAAATTTACCCAAACACCAGCGAGTCAGAGAAGTGGTTGTGCCACCTGAGTACAAAACTAAATCTGGTGCTTTGTTTAAATCAAGAGCATTGCAGTATTGTTTAGAAGATTCTGTAAATATACTCGCAGAAAATGATTGGATTGTGCATTTAGATGAGGAGACATTATTGACTGAAAATTGTGTAAGGGGTATATTAAATTTTGTGTTAGATGGACAACACCAGTTTGGGCAAGGATTGATAACATATGCAAATGAAAATATTGTCAATTGGCTGACAACTCTTGCAGATAGCTTTCGAGTTTCAGATGATATGGGCAAATTGAGGTTTCAATTTTACTTATTTCACAAACCACTGTTCAGTTGGAAAGGGTCTTATGTTGTGACACAAGTAAGTATATTGAGATGGTTTCCTATTTTTACATACTGTAAATTGAACAGGAATTTGGATATTTCTTGTAAGTTTCATACATTAAAATGTTCATTTAGTTAGGACCTACAGCTATAAGTGATGCATGTGATTATATGAGTGTCATTCAGTTATCTTAATCATTTAACTATTTTTGGGAATATAAAGAATATGTTTTTCTAGTTCATAACTTAAGTTAAATTTAAGGGACAAGAAAGAAATGTATTTTTTTATCACAATAAAATTTAGGTCTTTTTTTGTTTATTGACATGTAAGAATAAAGTTATTTTCACTTCTTAGCTTTAGTAATATATATTTTATCAATTGATAGTTACTTATATGCAGTAAGGTTGCCAAGTTATTAGAACAGTTTATAAAAAGATGTATTCATGAGGTACTAGTCTGAAATTCATTAGAAAAACATTTTTTTAGTTGTAATAAAATGATTGTTTTTACTACTAACATAAACAAAGTAATGAAAGCATAAAATAATAAATAAATAAAGAAAAAGAGGTAGTATTTAGTAATGATCAGTATTTAGTAACATTTTCTTTGTCTCATTTAATGTTTTGTACTCTGCATAGCTCCCTTTCCTAAGATATTTGTAGAAAACCAATATATATTTGAACATTCAACATTCTTTTTAAATTTGAAATCCATAAACATGTGAATATTAAAAAAAACATTCCTTCATCACTTAGATCTGTAGCCAGGTACAGCACTTTGGTTTTGGTTTTCACTTATAAATACAACATATTAAGTAGTTTTTTTTAAATGTGATGAGGTATGATGCCTTCAAATGTGTCTGCGTAATTGTGTTTTAGCTAGATTTTTTAAATATATATTTAGAAATTTCTTACTATTTCTTTTATTGTAGAATATTATGAAAATAGAAGCCTTGAAAAATAATTTATATTGTTTCTTTAAAATACTATTGGGCTACAAATGGCAATAAGAGCACTTACCAGTACTTAAAATATTAATGAGAGCTTCAGAAATCTTATCATCAAGGGTCTGATTTTCGGCACCTACTATTAGTTTTTAGTTAGGTTTGTTAGTTTGTATATGTACTTGCTATAGCTTTAATTTGTGGACTAATTCTGATTTTCTTCCATTATTCCATTTATTTTTAGTGAATTTAAACAATATTATGGAATTTGAAAACTAGAACTCGCTCTTGAGTATGAGTTCTAACAATTAATAAAACATAATAATTTATTGAAATTCTTAATTTGCAGGTGAGTGCAGAGAAGAAAGTGTCTTTTGACAATGGTCTTGATGGCTCTGTTGCAGAAGATTGTTACTTTGCAATGAAGGCATACACAGAAGGATACAGTTTTAACTTTGTAGAGGGAGAGATGTGGGAGAAATCTCCCTTTTCCTTATGGGACTTCATGCAACAAAGAAAAAGGTGGATACAAGGAATACTTTTGGTGGTACATTCCAAAGAAATACCTTTAAGGAATAAGATTTTTCTTGCAATATCTTGTTATTCATGGGTGACACTGCCATTTTCAACAAGCAATATTTTTCTGGCTGCAGTTTTTCCTATACCTTGTCCATATGGCTTGGATTTAGTATGTGGATTTATAGGTGCTGTCAACATTTATATGTATATATTTGGTGTTATCAAATCATTTCCTATTCATAGGTTTGGACACATAAAATTCTTCTTACTTATTGTAGGAGCCTTAGCAACAATACCTTTCAATGTTATCATTGAAAATGTTGCTGTTATTTGGGGAGTATTAGGTAAGAAGCACAAATTTTATATAGTGAACAAGGAAATTAAGATTCCAGTGACTGTATGATTATTTAAGATATAGTAGTAGATAATATAATTTTGAAGTTTAACTTGTTTTAACATAGTATGTGCACAAATAATTAATGTACAAATCTGGCACTTACTGTGAAGTGTGAATGTTATTCCAGTGAATCAGTTATTATAATACAACATTGATATTACTCTGAGTCATGCTTTTTTAAACATTTACAGTTTATAGTAAAAGTGTAAATATATTTTATTTATATTACAAACACTGCTCATGAACACTGAAAGCTACCCACTTAGATTTGTTTTAATATATTTATAGAATATTTTTTGGATGACATATTGTCACATTATGAACAACTTTTTTAGGTATATGTCTATAGTTTATTGTCATTGACATTCAATTGTCATTGTATTTTATTAGCATGGTGTTTATCTTTTGGTTAGAGTTCCGGTGCGTAATATCGAAATTTCTTGTATTAACGTAGATTCATATCATACTTGAAATTATCCACATTTATAAAGTAAATTATGTAGCTAATAAACAAATTGTGCATATTTATATTGCACATTTAGACCAATCGAATGTTTTTAAGAAAATACTAGTGTCATAGTATACTAGGATATTTATATATACCTACAATATTAATTATATGTAAGGCAAGTTAAGTTCAAACGTTTGTAAGAATAGTCTTGAAAACGTTTTGATATTATAACATACGTATGTACTCTCAGCAATCATTATATTTTATAAAAATGATTATTAGACATAGTGACGCTTTGAACAGAGCGAAAATTTGATTACAACGGTTACGATACTTTTTAGCATACCTATAAGTGAGTCAATAAACATTCCGTGGATTCAAAGAGATTATTATTTTACTCGGCTTTAATAACATTATACTAGGTTAAAAGACAGCACCGAGACCACAGAACAGTGTACAAGCCAGCTACAAATGTTCATAACTTTTGGTTGTTCCTTCAATCTCTTAACTGGAACAACATAATTATATCTAGTTTAATAAGTGGTTAAATATTCATCTAAGGATATTTTAGCTAAATCTAGTCTGCAGGTAAGATAATTGGTTTTACGTTTTTCATGGGGTTTAAAATAAATATTACAGGAGATCAATTCTGGTGACAAAAATTCGTTCAAAATTCAGTTCCAATATTTCCATCTTACAAATGTTATAAAAGGTATTCTCCTAGTAAAGTATTAACCATCCAACGTTGACTGTAATGTGATTGTCGTATTGTCACCGAAAGCTGAATCGGTATTCTGCTAATTTTTTTATAACGATACGAATAACTTTTTTAAAATTTGTGAGATCGAAGAAGTAGTTCAGGTCTTTAAATGTCTGTGTGTAAATTATGTAGAAAAATGACTTTCAGAGGTCAGATTGCAAACTGATTAGTACGACTTTGAAGTCAAGATACATGCCAATTTTTTTATGAGGAAAAACAACACGTCCATGATACTTTTCTTTTTTTCATCCTTTTTACTTTTCAGTCGGTCTTAGCAATCGTATTAATTTTTTCGATTAACAAAAGTAAAATATGAATTCAAAATATTTCATTACAGAAAGTTTAGCACTTGGTGCTACACACAGGGGAGCAGAAAAAATTTCTGGGTCAAAGATTGCAGATCGGTTAACGAATCCAGGAATTGCAATCTCGACTCCCACCCCAAATTAAATTTCTCTTACATATTTCTTTTGCATTAAATACTAAATCGATTCTCATTGTCTGTGAGTTACACTGTAAATTGTATCTTATCTCGATAAAGTGTTAGTATTAAGTATGCCTAGTTTACATGGGTGCCGAGGCTTGGCAAACGTTCACAAGCTCCAAAAAAAAAAAAAACGTCGCAAACGCTTGTCGCAAGTTTCCTTTGATCTATGTTCAAAAACCGACACTAGTCCCGATTACTCCCGATAGACGACAAACTCACACAAGGTGAGACCAAACACCTCGTTTACACGCTTGTGTTTATAGATACTTGTGGAGGCTTGCCAAGCATGTAAATGGCTTATTATAATCTTATTTATTCGACTTACTTTCCAGGAAACTATAAAGGTTAACTGCACATTAATATTCTTAATTACCATCGTAGTGTACTTTAAATTTACAGATAATTCAATTTCATTGCAACTTTGGCTGTTGTAGATAAAACGGTTACACATCTAATTAAGATTAAGTTTATGATGTTTTATTGATAAGTCATAACGATTATGTACATACGTATGTTATAAAATACGAAGTTCTTTTCTAAGAAATTGACGTCATAATTAGAAAAGTAATTGTCCAAGTTACCTAATTGTTTTCCTTGTTTATAATTACGTCCTGTACCTTTGGCTATATTAATCAGTGGAGGAAGGAGGTGAAGCCGTAATTAAAATGTTACTCTCATTTGTATGAAACAATAGTACCTGGATGATTTTTTTTTGGTAAATTTTCTAAAAATGAAACCCAGCTAGATCGATTAATCGCCCCGGAAACCCCCTGCATACTAAATTTCATGAAAATCTTTGGAGCCGTTGCCGAGATTCAGATTATATATATACAAGAATTGCTCGTTTTAAGGTATTAGAAATAATGTACAAAATCATTTCTGAAAGAAATCTCAAATTACCCTTATTTAAATGATTATAACTTGTAGCCTAATTCTCTTTAAAACAGCAAAAGCAGAAAAAACTTGTTGCACTGTATATAAACAGTCCTCTCCTTGCATCTTATTAAATATATACGTGATAATTCATCTTATTCCGTATAGACTTTATTGTTCATTCTGCGCATGTTTTCTGTGTTATTCATGTAGCTTTTATTGTAAACAGAAATATGAAAAAGTTATATATGTAATAGGTATGTTACAATTAAGATATGTGAAGTTGTCTCAAATTGAGTCTGCTTATTTTTTTTTGTGTCTGGTTCTTGCCGCTTCGGTCCGGTCCGGTCCGGTCCGGTCAGGCCAAGTTTTGTATTCCCGTTACTAAATTTTGTTTATCTATATATCTAACTATTTTTATGTGGTATTATAATGTAAATATTATATTTTGATTCTATTATAAAAAAATGACATACATAGAGTATGTCTGCTATGTATTCAGGCAGTTCAAACCACAATTATACCGATTTAAAAAAAAAAAGATTGTATGGTTAATAAAAATTATAAAAGATTAATTAAAAAGATTGATAAATATAGTATAGTATGAGTCGCTCCGTTTACAGTATTTTCATTAATGCGTCATTTTATTTATATCTATTGATCCATTGATAGGCACAGATTGTAATAAGTTCCGCTTGATGTATTTAAGTCTAAGAAACGTATTGTGTTGAGCGACTGGTTGTGTAAAACATTAAATTATTATTGCAAGCAATCTAAGGAAGGTAGGCGTAGTATATTGTAAATGGCTGTTGGTTGAATATGTCGACCTTTTGGATTAAACATAGAGGGGCGAAAATTACATTGACAAATGACAAGAGAATGTCTTTTACGATTTTGTAATCTAAAGTGGCAATATGTTTAGATAATTAGCTTGATACATACAGTACAGCTTGATACATAGAGTAGATACATTATGAGGGTGACTAAGCATGAGTCTATAATGTTTTATTTCTGATTTATCTTAAAAACTATAGTTTATGTTTGAACTCCTACCAATATTTAAGCTAGGTTAATTTCACTCGTCCACATTCGAGACCAAATCTCTTTTATATAATGTATTTTTTTTTGTTAAGAATGTACATATTTAGAACTTATACTTGCCTCATCATTGAGTATGTATGAATTATTCCATACGAACATACAATTGACATTACTGAATTGACATTTGTCTTGAGACTTACTGTGTCGCTATTACCGACGCAATAGTATAAAAATGTAAAGTATTTCTATTTCATTGCACGTGGATCCAAGTTATTGCGTATATTCGCGTACGATACTTATAATTACATAGATTTAGAGACGCATATTCGGTAAAGTTTTCTATTAAATATCAAATACAAATTGTTATTAAAAAAATATTAGTAATAAACAGCAATATTAAAACGAGTTGTAAAGAGGTATAGTCGTATCTTAGGCTAGTACATTAGAGATGATGTAGAATGTGAGAAGCTGAAAGAAATAGTAATATTATTTGAGAATATTGTCTTAACTTCTATAAGGATAGTACAATAGGGAATATGCATGTATTTTTTTTATTTTTTTAAACGATTCTACTAGTTATTACATTACCAAAAATAAATATAACACATCCGAAATATAAACCGTTAAGCAAATAAAAATTTATTAAAATCACTATCATTTTGGGGCAATTTGAACACGTCCATTTTGGCGCGCTTTTTTTGTGACGTCCGATTACACTTTCAGACGAATTCGATGTCAACAACGGAGTGAAGTTCACGAAGTTTGTGAAAGTTAAAAAAGTGAGTGATAAAAATTAACTTATTACGACGGAAAAGCCAATAAAAACTTATTATAAATATTGTGCCGTTCCTTTGTTCCCAAATAATATCAAAACTGCACCTGACAAAGTATATTCAGTCATTGTGTTGAGTCTTTCTAAACGGGAATTGAATAATTTAACACTGACACACAATTTGTTGACACTCTTGACAGTGTAGGTTGACGTCACGTTTTATTCAACCAATAGCGTTGCGTTTTAGAAATTTGCGAGGGAATCTTAAAAAAGCCAATTTTTGATGATTAAATTTCACTATTAATTTATAATAAATTTCAAAAATAATTGTATGGGTATCTTTTTTTAGCAATAAAAATTACAAATAAAAATATTTTGCCCATTTTGGTGTCACGTGCATATTCCCTATTAATAAAATTAACAAGGATGTGGATGAATGAACGAAAATTTATGGAAATAAAGAAAATACTGGCTATTCTAAAGTATGACCACACCCCTGTATAACATATTGTATAATTGTGAAAATATCTATAATTAACTTCCGCTGCTATTATTTAGATTTTTAAGTGTTAGCCAATAATTTACCAACTTTGACTTGCAATATTCAGTCCAGTAAATTTTA